AGCCTTTTTAAAGGTTTAATAGCGAAACAGTGGTCATGGTTCACAAGAAAGCTCGCTAGTACCGAACACAGCTGAGACTGTGCCAAAAAAAATGAAAACCACAAGGGCAAATCCTAGGAACTCCTTGCTTTAAGCAAGGGTATTAGCCATGAGTCATGGGAAACAAAAACTGTACCTTGAAGAATGACAAATTGGGACTCTGTAAAAACAGCAAAACAAAATTACGTGCATTTAAACAGGCTTTCCTGTTCTTAACGTAATATGTCCAATGCCTTGCACCTGACCTGCATTTATGGCTGTAATTGAAGGGAGCGGCATCTTAAAACCAATTATAATGCTACCTGAGTGGGTGATGAGCATCTATTAAAGTGTCACAAGTTTGCATCACAGTACTGCTTTTTACCTTGCTTGTTTGTTTGAGCTCAGCGGGATAAAACTGACAGCTCAAGAGACATCCAAAACAAAGGCAATACGCTTTTGGGGGCAGACAGGACAAACCCGCAACAGAGGCTCAGGATTTACCAAGGAGGATGGAAACGATCACATGACATCAGCTAAGGAATAATTACGGTGCTTTTCGGTAGCAGAATACCGTGCTGACCGCTCAAGATCTGATCCTGCAAATCCTTCCGCACACACATTTACCTTTATGTGAGCCGGCCCACCAAAGCTGATCGGACTAATAAGAAGAATTAGGTGTATAAAGAACTGGAACTCAATTGGGAATACAAACAGAAGCTCACGTGAAGAAAATCTCCCTTGACCATTACAGAGGTAGGGGCATCGACAAGAGGCATTGGTCAGGTCTGGCAGCGTAAAGGGCAGATTATTCTTGTGAGACAGCTTTCTGACCCATCCTTGGGCAACTGACTGAGCAGGCAGGATCCTGCAAAGCCTGCCGTTTCTTTGAGAGCTTCCCAGATGCCCAAGGTACCAGTGGGTGCGTGATTAACCAATGCTCTGGAAAAGTTCTTTATGCCTGGCAACAGCAAACTTCCCGACAATCTGAAAGTGGACACCTTTTCCCTCTACCTTTGTATTAACATCCACAGGATTTCAGCAGCAGCCCTGGTTCCTGGTGACCTGCCCACCCTTTTTATTTCCTTGGCTCATGAGCAGGCGAGTTGGAGAGAAGCAAGCTGATTGTTTGAAGCCGTGCCTGGGCAGGCGTGAAACAACCGGGGTGTACGCTTGCACCCTGTTGAGCAAGGACATTGCCACGTTTTGCACTGTAAACCTGCAGAGATTTTGTATTCTAGAACGAATGAAAACCAAAAAAAGCCCCAGCACAAACCTGAATTTGCGTAACCCAAAGGTAGTTATTTAGAGTGGTGCAGGTAAACACAGTTGTGACAACCAAAAAAGTCCTTTGTCTTACGGCATTCTAACACAGCTTCAATACTGGGCTTGTTGAAAGCGTCTGCCACGATCTTGCCCACGGGCGGGGAACTTGCACACATGACAATTAGCAGCCAAAGGCACCGTAAATGCCGGCAAATGCCAACGGCGCTGTAAATGCTTGTGGGTGCTAATGTCCAGTGAGGCATTTGCCTGTGCCGCCCACCGCCGTGCTTCATCTGGGTTCCTCTGTTCAAGGCATTCCGTGCTGCCCCTTCCCACGCTCAGCCCTTACTTGCTCCGCATGCCTTTGTGCCTTGCAACAGCTTTCTAACTTGCCCTGACTAAAACTAACCATCAACCACGAGATCTTTCACCTTTGTTTCTGTCCATGAGACCATGATACCCATGGGCTCATGGTGTCTCTGCCAAGCTGCCCTGAAATGCCTCAAAAACAACACACTTCTAGAGACTCGCCTCTGCTACCAGCTGCACACCACCATTTATTGCTAAGACTCTCTCGTCTCATCTGTTTTGTTCAACGTCTTGCCCAACATGGCTATCCAGGCAGCAGCGAGGGTCTGTCGTATCAGATGCTTTAAAAGACAAAACAAAACAGTTTTCCGCATGTAAAAAGTACGGGGAAAAGCAGCACCCAGGAAGCCCAGATACGTATTTTCCTCATTTTTAACTGGGACGGTTAAACAAACAACTTCACTTCTTCAGAGTGCGTTCCTGAAATGGGAGATTGCCTCTCATCCTGCTGGTGTTGCAAATGCTACAGGTGTGGAGTGGATCCTTTTTGGCTGGAAGCGCTTGCAGAGCAGAGAATGCTGCTGTAAATCGCTTAAAGCGCACTCAACCTGCCATCGTGGTTGATTTCACAGGGCTTAATTGCGCTCACCAGGAAAGGCAGCTGGATGAGATACTGCGATAATATCCTTTAGGTCCCACACAACAAACAGCTCCTGACTTTCAGACCCCTTTTACCGTACTCATCCCTCAACCACCTGCACTTCTTGTCAAGATCCAGAGGCCCCGTGGTTTGGGTTGGAAGGAGGCAAAACAACTGCATCTAGCTCTGGAAATCCCATCTCTTCGACATCGCGACGTGGCAATAGGGTCTCATCTGTACAGGATCTGAGCTGTCTCGCCACCTTTCACAAGCTGCCGACCTAGTCCCGTGATCCGGGCAATGCTGCCGAAGCCCTTTCTTCCTTCAGCTACAGAAAAAGGAATGGGGGACCAACTTCCCTGTTGAAAGAGCAGCAGCACGAAGGCGGCAGTTTCAGCTTGGAGGAAGAGGAAGTGGGAAGAGTCTGATGGACACATAGGAACGTCCATCTCTGCTCCACAGACTTTTATGACACCTGTTAAAATTTTTGAAGAGGGGGGGAAAGCAGGGATTTTTTTGAGTAAATGCTTTGAAATAAAGCCTGACACACCTCACTTCAACTACTTCCTTTGAAGTACCTGTTAGCTTTGAAAAGGATGTTCCCGTCAGTCACAAGTTACCTAGAACATTTAGAATTTGAGACTCATTTTTCTATACATTATTTACAGTTGGTATCTTTCTAGATTTAACACCTCATTTTGGCCAAGGAGTCGATTCGCAGCGCTTGGTAGCATGATTTAGTATTAGTCATGTATGTTTTGCTTTCGTCCCCTGTGTTTATTTACATTGGTCTAGCAGCACTACTACTGAACGAACTTCATAGTTAGAACTCGAAAGGTTTAAAATTAACATGGGGATTCCCCTCCAAGCTGAAAACAAACCTGTTTTCAACTTCAAAAAAAATAAAATCTCAGACTGGCTTGGTGGTGTTCTACCACGGGGGGGGTTCGGCATTATATTCCTTCATCAACGTTTCCCCAAACAGCAAACCTTCTCGTTCGGCTTTATGAAATGCTTCTCCCTGCCCCCCTCCATCAATTTAGATAAGCATCTTTGGGGGTCAAAAAAAAAAAGTTGCACATTCTGCTTCCTTCAGTACAAGTTTCTGTCCAAAAGCTTCACAGTATTATTTCCCCCCACCGCAGACCACCACCACCAACAGACTAGCACGGTCCTCTTTTTCACCCATTTAGTGCACCTAGGTTGAAAGAGAGGAAATAGGAGGCTGGGAGGTGTGGCAAGACAGACACCTCATTTAAAGGTCTCTGCCTCTCCCGAGTGTCTCCCCCCAGTGACAGAGGAAAGGAAATGACTTGAGGAAGTTTTACTACCAGTTTTGACAGACAATCAAACAAGCACCTATTCCTCAGCGTGCTCGGCCCCAGCTGCACGGGGGAAAAAGAAAAGTAAAAAAAAACCCCTACCAGAGATTCGGCCTCTAGCTGAAATCCAATTACCCTACGAGGAAAGGCTGAGAGAGTTGGGCTTGTTCAGCCTGAAGAAGAGAAGACTGAGAGGGAACCTCATCAATACATACAAATATCTTAAGGGTGGATGTCACAAGGACAGAGCCAGACTCTTTGCAGCGGTGTCCAGCGACAGGACAAGGGGCAATGGGCACAAACTGAAACATAAGAGGTTTCAGTTGAGTATGAGGAAAAACTTCTTTACTCTGAGGGTGACGGAGCACTGGAACAGGCTGCCCAGGGGGGCTGTGGAGTCTCCTTCTCTGGAGATATTCAAAGCCCGCCTGGATGAAGTCCTGTGCAACCTGGTCTAGGAGAACCTGCTTTAGCAGGGGGGTTGGGCTAGATGATCTCCTGAGGTCCCTTCCAACCCTCGCGATTCTGTGATACCAAAGGAATGAGGAGAAATCTGCTTTGGCCTGCTACTTGTACCAAAAAGGAAAAATGAACTGCTCCAGTTGCAACACAGCCTTCTTCCATTTCAAAATTTTTAATTCTCCCAACATTCCAAGATGAATACCAGCCCCTCAGCTTTCAAACGCATTTTAGATTGCAGATACTTTCCTCAATCCATCTTTGATTTTGGCTCTCTGATAATTTAATGTCTTTCTAAAAGATGGAACTTTTTTGCAGTTTTGAATTGACTTTGAGAGTAAGGACCTGAGGGCTCTTTCTCCCCTGCTGTTACCTTGGAGGTAGCCATCCATCCACTCAAGCCCTCCTACCACAGAGCTGAAACATAACACAGTAATTTTCCATACAGCTGCATGCTCAGGCGGCATGGGAAGACAGCTGCCCTAGCCATCACTTCTCACTCTCTTCCCACTAGGAATAATGAGCATCGCTTGGCTCATCGGGATTCGTACACACTTCCAGAGAGCACAAGCTCTGGTTATACTGGCAGCACCTCCTGCAAAAAAGGGAAATTTACCAATTTAATCCCACTTTCATTATGGTTTGATGACACCAGGTCTGTTGACAATACTCAGTTGAATTCTTTACATCCTTCATCTGCTATACACCTCTGCTCTAATATATCCCTCCCTATATGGAGGGATATATTGCCCCCTCTGCTGTCCCACAAAATTGAAAGGATCCTGCTGATCCTTTTAAATCTGATCCCAGATTTTTAAAAAAAAAAATAAAAAAAAAAAAAGGAAAAAAAAAAAGAAAGGAGAAAGAAAAACAGAGCCCTGCAAATGAATTTATCCATTGCTCCTCATCCCCTCAAAGAACTTAGAAGTTACGGGCTTTGTTGATTCTCCATTTATTTTGAGAAATATATAATATGAAAACTAGTTTACAGTTCTGGCACAAAAATGATGAAGCAATAAGCACAAAGTTTCTTTTTACAAATAACGCTATATATTTTTACCATTTAAAAGTGCCTAGAGTTTTTCACAGCAAATAAAGTTTATTTACCTGTATCTTTTTTCTTAGTAAAATATTCAATCTATTTAAATTGCACATGAACACCTTGGTGAAGTAAACTATATGTAAAGTTACAATAAATCTGTATTTAAAGCGGACAGTCATTAGAAACTACATGGAATGGAAAAGACTATCAAAGCCTAAATCGAATCCTAAAGACTGATCAAGAAAACAAGAGACAAGACACCGACTGATATGGCACAAGTGATTAAATTATTGACAATTTGAAAGAAAATAATAAAGCCTAGTTGAAGATCTTCATGGATCTAATACACTGCTAAAACATTTCAATGCAGAGGTTTTATAGCATTTAAACTGGCAAAACAGATTTTTGGCTGCTAAATATTTTTCCACAAGATCACAAGGCATCTCCTTCACTTAATACTGGACCTTAAAATGAGTACATCGGTAGCTAGAAAATGTGCATAAGAAAACAATTTACAGCAAAGGTTGCTGTAGTTGACAGTTTACTGTGTTTTGACACTAAAACAGTTGAAAAGTTTATCACTTATTAACCGAATTAACTTGCAACAGCAGAAACTAGAGCATTTTAAAATATCATCTTTGACTTGTTCCTTCAAAAAACTTGCCTTGTTCCAATTTCCAGAATTGCTGAGAAGTTCAGCCTACAGTTTTACTGTCAATACAACCACTTACACTACGCAAAATTGGGTGTGAACTGAAGTCTCTATAATCGGGGCCATAAACTTTCACACAGTATTCTTATTCCTCCTTCACAGACACTTGCGCTGAATTGTATCAGTCATTATTTGAAGGACTCTTCAGTGAAGAAAGAGTGGTTAGTCATCTAAGATGTCCAACCTGAAATATTTTAAAGAGGCCCAGCTGCCATAGTGTTTTGTGTGTGCTCTGACCTGCTGGGTTATGTTTCTTAAATGCAAACACTTTAACATTCCAAGCTGAAGATCCAAAAATTCAAGTATCCAAAGTCTTACTGGTTTTAAGTCCTGACCTTCAAGCTCGTGTTGACATCAAGTCATTTACAAAAGCATTTCTTTCAAACTACAGCACAACTGATTCACCCATTCTGATATCTTTTGTGGGTGGTCAAAGGAATATTTGATTTGCATCAAAGTAAGAATTAACATAGATAATTGAGTCCAAATAGCATTGTTATGTTGCTTTAAGAAACACAGCAATGCTGACAATGGCTGTATGATAAATGTCCCATTATGCCATTCACATCAAGCAGCACAGGAAACACATATGCACACTAGATTTCTTTGCACTGAAGCCCAGCTGTTTAAAAATGCAGGAATATACTCTGTTCTCGAAATTAATCTTATAGGCATGCACAACTTCACACATCTAAACAAAATCAGGAGGCAGGACCTAAAACATAGGCTTTGTGAAGAATTCAACAATGCCTCAAGGTTTGCGATCTAATGAAAGTCTAACCACTTAAAATGAGAGCGCCAATATGACCCTCCCCAAAACATGTTTGTAAACCAGGTATGAAAGCAAGTTTAGTCTATGTGAACTATCTCTGAAAAGCAATTAACCGAATTCAGAGAGGGAAAATAAACAGCCTCAATAAGTTACATTTTAAAGGTTTTCCAGTTAACCACCTATTACTTTTCATCTCCGTTTAACCGAATACCTCTTCTTAAACAGATGTAGAGAGTATCTTAACAAAAGCAATCCATTTTGCCTATTTTGTTGTTAAATACTACTTTGAAGGAAGTGAAAGTGCCCAGTTTTACAAGTAATTTTAGATTCAGATTACCAACTGAAAATGGAAAATATGACATTGAAAACACAGCAGTGCTAACAAATACAAAATATGCAGCTTTTTGGGAAAAAAAAAGCAGCTCACAAGGCACTTGCTATAGTGGTCCATTAAATAAACAGTATACATAGTGCACCCTTAAAACATCATTGTTACGCATCAAGCTTTTTCAGTGTTAAACTTCAGATTTATTAGAAACAACCACTAGGTTCTGTGTATTCTGAAGCAGTTATTGAGCAGCCTTGTTTCATATAATGTAAATGAAACCGATTAGAAGTGGGGCACAGAAGAAGAGTATTTTAAATCATTTCTTGTCATGTGAAGGTTTGTCTGTGTAGTGATAAGATTAAGTGTGGAATGCTGTTCTGACACACATCCCTCCCCCTCCCAGCCCCCTGCCCCAAAAAGCCACATTCCTGCATTGTTAATTACAATTGATTCTATCATCACCTACTGGTTTGGCTCATCATTTGCAGCTTTGAAAAATAACGTGCATAACAGTAGCATTAAGCTACTTTCCTCTCCAGAGCAAAAACTGGCAGGTAAGAAAAAGTAAGTATCTGTAAAAATTGTACATTATTTCAATGGCTGAAAATGCTGAAAGTTGTAATCAACACACTTGATACTGGTTTGATTTTTTTTTTTTTTTTTTTTTTTTTTTTGTTCATAACATACTTCAAAGGCCAGAAGAGCTACAGACCCGGTCACATCTCCTAGCATTTCTCTGTGGGAACGGGTTCTTCATCTCCCTTTAGAAAGTATGCATATATTAAACCATACTTTTTAATTACTCCCAGACTGAGAAAGCTTGGATCATGTATCTGCAAACTTAAGGTTTCCACAGTTTCATGTTGGATAGAATAAGGAACGCTGTCATTGACAGAAGGATCTGTAGACTGGCCAACGGAAAAGTTAACATTCTAAATTAAAAACAGTCCCAAAACATTAGCAAAAGGTACCAACTTGTTCAGGGGACTTCAATCTACTTCAGCCCAGTCTGTCATGGTACTTATTTTGTCCATAAGCACCAAAGTGTGAAAACTTAAGCATTTGTCCAGAATTACCACACATAGTCCATTCTCAAATTCTGCTCTGCAGATCACTTACAAGTTCCTCAAATTCTCTCCAACTCAAATCACCAAAAAAATATCTAATCCTCATTCACACTTTTGCATAGTTTGGCATTTTCTGGAGTTGTACTTTTGTTTTCTTTCATAGCTTTTGAGGGGACTCATCTGTCACATATGCAAGTACTTCCAGTCTAAATCCTTCAGGAGAAAAACTGAGTCCCACTTAAGCAGCAAGCTGTCCAGGACTGTTTGACATTCTTCTTTCAACTCAAAGTAAACATTACTCAGTTTTATCTGCAATTTCAGATTTTTCCCTTTGCATCATGCAGCGACGAACTATGCTGTCAAAACTTCCTAGGTAAAATAGGCCAACGATGCGAAAAATGCCCATGCAAACAACCTGGAAACAGAGAGAAACATCTTTCAATTCATTTAAGATCCCGGACAGCAGCATATTATTTACTTGTGAAATACAAAAAAAAAGTTCCAGGCAGATACGTTATATAACGTCAAGAAAACAAACTCCTGGAGACCACCATACCTATATAACGGTTTGGATTTGAGTAGCAGGTAATACCCTTAGCTTTCTTGCCAACTTGCTGCTTCAGCTTGGAAATACTACTTCAGTTTCCTAAACCTGAGTCTCCACAGTATCAGCAGCCATTTGATGAACCAAATGCTTGACTGATCAATGCTTGCGCAATGTTCTACATTTTAAAGTATTTGAATCTATAAGAAATTGTGGCTATGGGGCCTTCCCAAATCTTACCTGCTGAAGACCTTCAGTAATAGAAGTGACTGGTGACATTCCACTTGTCAATATTGATAGCATGTAACCATCTGATCCAACTGAGCTGTTGAAGTTCCCTTGCTGCATGGAAGGAAAACAGTGATTAAGAAAAGAAAAAAGTAATTTACCCAGTTGTGGCAAATCACGTTCTTATTTCAACAGCTATTTTTGATGAACATAGCTGATTGATGTCGCTAGCAACAAATGTTATGTAAAAAAAAAAAAAAATTAACACAATTAAGAATCAAAATATTCAGAAATATTTTGTGCTATACAGCAACATTCCAAAAGGCATTCACTTAAAAATGGACAAGGAAGCTAACTTCTCTAAAGAGAGAAGTGTGCTAAATTACTGCGTATTTCTTTACAAGACAGAAAGGCTCTAAATTTCTTTTTGAAGCATGCTTACTGATGGGGAAAATGAATGACTGTCTCCTCATCTGTGAATATATTTCAGAGACAGAATTACACCCTAACTCTGTCAGATCACCAATCACTACCATAATTGTAGAATAAAATAGTGCTTGCTTGTTAAAATCGGTTTGCTATCACATGAGATTTGGCAGGGTGGGTGTATTTCAATTCAAATGCAAGGTAACAGGTCCTCCTTCACCTATGTCAAGGGTTTTTAACTTGCCCTCCTCAAAATGGTGAGATACACAGCCTGCTACACAATTCACCTGGCAGAAGAGGGGGGACAGACACCAGGAAAAAGTCGTTCGGTTGATTGGTTTTTGACTACTCATAAGGAAAATTGCAGTTCTATAGCTCTGACTCCCAGGCTTCTCCCATTTGTTTCCAGCAGACTTTATGCTGGAAAAACACTTTCTGAAACACTGCAGGACTAAATCTATGGAATGCAGAAGTGAAAGGAGAAGGTGGTGTTCCTGAATCAGGGTTAGGAGTGAATCTATGCGAAGTCACAGAGGATATGAGATTTGGTCATTTCCCAACACACACCTGAGAGGACTGCAAGTTCCTACAGTACAGAGCTACCTTTTAATTTCCATTTTAGTCTCTCAGCTGATGGCTTGAGTGCATAAAGACCACATGTGAACCAATATATAATCCAAAGTGCTGGAAAGCATGGTGTAGAAATACCGGACGCTTGAGATTAGACACATTCATTTTCCTTAGCACCAAAGCAGAATATTATGACAGTACTTGCTTTTAAAACTCACCACCCCAAAACCAGACATAATTTTTTGTTTATGTGCTCTATTTGTGAAAACATTGTAAAAACTTCACAGTTGAATGCCTGCTGTAGCTGTAAATCATGTTGAAGATCAAGAGTATTTGGAATGGCAAAATAATTACAGATTTTAGGATTCAAGCACTGTGCTTTATGAACATGAAATTTCATGTTTGTTTCCATTCTGAGGTGCTTTATTAAGCATGCAAACATTCCATGGCACAAAACATTTAAAAAAATTCCTCAGAAAGGCAATACACCCTTCACCACTAAGAGCAGCATTTTATGTATTTTAATCACTCATAAATCACATACTTAAGACATTAAAAGCCAAAAAGGCTAGATTGCCTTCATTTACTATAAAATTATTTTTATATGAACTCATCTTCAAGAAAAATAAAGATAGTCCAACAAGCTTTTGAGGTTAGACAAATGGTATTTGATACATAAAAAGTCAATAGAGTTTAGTGCTTTAAAGTCAGTCATAATCTGCCTTTGAGACATTGCATCATACTGATGCATCATTTTGTTCTGTCTAATGTACAACTTCAGATACTTTTTAGTTCCAGGAGATTGTATAAAATCATTTGTGGGCACAGTGGCAAAAGAAGTATAATGAACATACTTCCTGTGCAAACTAACCAGCACAGAGTACCATTTCATGTAAATAGATATTACATTTAGCTTAGCCATTGTCTTACAGTCTTAAACAAGCATTACATCCTAGCCTCTCCAATGAAGAACGTACTTTAAAAAGATAGTTTACTTACTATGGCATCTTTGACTATAACTCTGGCGACTTGTTCTGCTTGGCAAACAGATGAGGTTTCAGAAATTAGCTTCGTCTCTAAGGGCTTTAGTAGAAAAACACCAATATAAATTTGACTAACAACACACAGGAGAGAAAAATATGAAGGTCAAATTTCGGTTTGGGGTCTTTTGTCATGGATGACATCACCGTTAGCAAGTGGTATCATACTGTCACCTAAAACATCCACTTAAAGAAAGGTAGAAGCACCTTGAGAAATAGTAGTGTAATTTTATGAAGGGAAATGCCAACTTTCCTTGAGTAGTACTTTTTTTTTTAATAGTTTATTACTAATAAAATATGAAAAAGTGTTTTTTCCCCCAAATACTCGATTTTCATTAGAAGCTATCAAAATGCTTAAACCATGTCTCCTCAACACCTGTACTAGTTCATTTATGTCTTCTGCCAGAAATAAAGTAAAAAATAGGCCTGAAATAACTTTTAAGATCCTACAAAATAACTTTTTTTTTTTTTAATTTCTAAAACTCCACACACTGGTATCCACCAAAATCCATCAATGCATGTTATTTCTTCGTGTTTTAGACCATTTATGCTACTTTACCTCACTAGAAGAAAGCAATTATGGTGGTTATTTTATCAATCACACTTTCTTTCACAAAAAAACCCACCCACAACTCTGGTCTGTTAGAAACACAAATGGCAAAAATATGCTTTAGTATTTAAAAGCACGTTTGTCATTCATGTACTTTTAACAAATAAAACAATGATGGAGCTAACTGCACATCCAGCTATTTAAATGCTCAATATGTTAAGATTGATGGTTCTGTTGATGAAGAAAAAACAGTGCTAAACTAGGGAGAAAGAGAGTACTTGGTCACAAGTTGACTTGTTGTAATGGCTAATTCAGTTACCTTGAGTAATAAAACTTAATTGAAGCATTCAAGCCTACTCAAATACTGGGAGTAGGTTAATTCAGATATTAATACTTCAAAAAAGCACTTCTAGGAAAGAGCTGAGCAACTACAGGTTTCTCTCTCATTATCAATCCAAAGTACCACAGAAATTAAATTTCACAGGAACAGGTCTATTTCCAAATATCTGTAGAATTACGAATCCTGATTTCACTGAGCGGGCTCACTGAAAACTTTTTTTTTGTTTTAGGATGTTTATTTTAAGGGGGGGGGAGGGCAGATATCACTGTCTTGCCAGCAGAAATTACATACAAACACTTTATATATGCTTTCCTACAATGATATGGCTTGTGTCATCAAATCTCCATCTCATAACACCAATGTACTTTTGAGCTTACTGGCCAATATCCACCAAACCTGAAAGATATAGGGATGTCAACAGCAATTAAAATACTATAAATTTGGGAAAAAATAAGCAGCTGTTCAGAGCAACAAATAAAGTTAATGACATGTTGAGAAAAAGGCAGGCAGAAATCAGCCATTAAATACTTGATCTGGCTAGTCAGCCAACCAAAGCACAGTTGTAATTTGTAAAGCAGTTTACCTAAAAAAAAAAAAAAGAAAAAAGAAAAAAAGAAGCTAAAGAGGCTTAATGATTAAATACAGGAAAGCTGCATCCTACTTCCTGGCATTTTCTTTTACTATAGTCAATGATTAGAGAAAAATAGCCTAGTCCTAAAGAGATGCAAACTACAGAAACAGATGTTCTAAACTAAGTAGTATTAAATAAATGCAACAGTAATAAATGAGTATCTGAACTGTCAGAGCAATGCAATATTGCAGAGATTTAAGGTGCATTACCACGACAGGAGCAAGTCACCTGAAGACTCCATGCATGCTAAACCAAAGCATAAGTCTCTGCTTAAAAGACAACACCTTTTTGACAAATAAGATAAATCTCACTGAATCTGTTTTAAAGAGAAATCTTGGATGAACATTGCATTTTGCTGGTGACTGTATTTCCCTGAAATAGGCTATTACAAAGAAAAAAATCCCAGAGAATATGCAAGCTATGCAAGTATCTGCAGATGTCTAATTATGGCACTTTATATGGATGTGTGGGAGTACACATTTAATACAGAATATCTGTATCAAGAAATGATGAAGTAAGAATCATGTTATACAATCCCTACTGGTTCCTGTACAAAGGGTAAAAGACAAAATGGAATTCAACCCCAATTTCCTATTATACATGATAGAGCATCTTGAAAAGGCTGACCTCCTTAGACATGAAGTTTCTCGTTCACAGTATGCAAAAAATTAGACACATTTTTCTCTGGTTGCCTGATACTTCAGTCCGAACAGAGGGCCTGAATGTAGTTTTTGGAATTGTACTTCCTATGAAGGGACATGCCAAATGACAAGAGGCAACTAAACTTTTGAAGGTCAAAACTTCCCTTTTCAAGGTAAGCCAAATGAAAAAGGCCTACTGCTGACACACCCTTCTGAAAAGTGATACTGTCGCTTGCACTGCATACACAATGCAAGAGAGTTTCCTTTAATACTAAACAACAGCCACTACTGAATTGTGTCATTACATACATTCATACAGCACGGTTAGTTTGCAGACTTCACTGAAGGAACTGAGCTTTATTTTGATCTGTCACGTCTATCAGAACAACTGCATAGTATCAAAGATGCAAAATAGGAATATTGGTTTGGGCTCATTAAGCTTTGATATCAAAACAAATAGTGGTTTTACAGTTTACCACTCCACAACAATATTTCAATTAAGTACAGAAAGACTTCACAGTGTTTCAGATATTAAAGGTAGGTAGTACTTCCATCTAAAGCCAGAACAATAAAATACACAAAATTATCCTACAAGCTATTTAACTATGACTAGTTAAGTTGATTTAATTGAAGTGTTTAAAAGCACTTAAAATCTTAATATGCACCGATTTCAAATGCACCACAGAAGCGAATAAAATCTGAAATGCATTGCTTACTACGAAGTGAAGCTTTAAAAACATTAACAGTATGACTGAAGAACAGTTTACCTTTGTTTTACTTTCTTCTGCAAAGCCAGGTGTGTCAGTATCTGGAGGATAGGCCACCGTTACGTAGATATTATAAGGTTTTACCTGTATTTTACAAAAGTAAGTGTTATCTTAATACTGACAACCTCTGTATGTCCCTCATAACTTCATTAGTTTCTTTTACACTGAAGAAATACAGCAAGCATGAATTTAAATTGCTTCTAGTGGTCAGTCACCCTCATATTCAGCACTTGCAAGACTCAGAGCTTTGTCAAATGAGACAGCAAAACAGCAAAGATCTTAAAGAGATGGTTGCATTTTGTTTAATAAAAATATCTAAAAACTTTGCATTTGACGTAAATTATTTGATGAATCTAAGTGGGTTTTAAGCCACTTAGGAGGAATATGAATGTAATTTAGCTCTATAATTTTACCATTTTCAATTTTTAAAAAAAAGACTAAATCATTGCCAAACACCAGTACCCAGCATTCATAAACACAAGGCCAAAAAGGCTTTCACTGAGGCTTATTAGCATGCTTTTTTGCTGTTGTTTATGTCAAAATATTTTCACTGCTGGACAAATATGAGAAAAAAAACAAAAATGTAAAACTCAAATTTGATATCTTTAAGAGGTATACTCAAGTCACAAGGCTTTTCAACGCATGGTATAAACTTGCAAGGGGTCAAAATCTAAGGAGACAAAAAAATAAGTAGAAAATGTGAGGAAAAATGGAAAGTCTCATGTCAAGGATTGCATTTAGTTATGCATTTGTATGTATGTGTCACAGAATTACATCACTTACTGCACTACTATTCAGAAACTACTACAATGCAAATCAGATACAAATACAGAAGCTTTTAATGAAAATATTCAGAGGGCTAAGATAAAGAAGAGTGTTGTAAAGCGCTAAGCATTTTTATTTATATTATGAAACATTCTATATGGAAAAGATACTGAAATATCACATCACAGGTCCACAAACACCCTATTTTCAGTTTTGAATAATTCCATCTTCACAAAAATACCTGTCACCAGTCTGAAGAAAGACCCTGCAGCCACGTTGTTCTATTTGACAGGCCAGAGGTGATTAGAGGTAGTTTTACCCCACATTCTTATCCTGATCAAGGCATAGAACTACATTGAACAGAACAGGGTAACAACAGGGACTATGCAAAGGTCTAGAACCAAACACAGACACTTAACAACTGAAATGTACATGCTGAACAGAAGAATAAGGGAAGCCATTTTCAAATCAATTTTACCTGTCTTACTAGAATGTACTTACCAACCTCATACCATCAAATAATGAAAACAGTGTTTGTTTGGTTTTTAGTCTTGACTTAAGCATAAGCTTAGATCCTTGCACTTTAAAAAGCTCATATATACCAAGATTTAGAATGGTGAACCACTGTCAACACAATTTTTCTTGTGGACAGTCCTCAAATTCTAGCTTGCAAGTTTTACTGTTTTGTATGGTTCACAAACCACTTACCATGGCCTCACAAACAAGTTGGGAATCACTGGCCTGCCCCTCATGCATCCATGGGATCTTCAATATCATTCTGCACTTAGAGCCTTGAAAAAGACTTTTACTCAAAAGACTTAAAATCCAAGTCCTTTCAAGTTAAAATAAAAGAATAAAAGAAAAAGTCTGCACATGTGTTCATTTTCAGTTCTAGGAACAGATTCAATCTATTCCCTCTTATGCAACTGAAATCAGCTTAGTTTCTGCAATCCCATGCAGAGCAATAGGATTGTACTGCTGCCAAAAAAAGGGCCAACATAGCACGCAGATATCAGCAGTGCTGCACAAGACAAAAAGAGAACTACTTAAATGAAAATGTGCTCTGCTGCTGGTTAAAAAAATATTTTTGTTTACAATCAAAAATACTTAAATTATTGCACACATACCTCCATTTGCAGGGCTTCAGCCAACCCTCGAAGAGCAAACTTTGTTGGAGAATAAGCTGTGTAACCAAATAGGCCTAACTGCCCAGCCTGAGATGATACAAACACAATCCTTCCCATTCTTCGTTCCTTCATGGTAGCGATTACTGCTCGACTTGGGTAAACGCTACCCAGATAATTGACTGCCATTAATCGCTGTACAAACGATATTAATATGGTATTTGAGCCACAGATTCAGAATCTTTCAGCTGTTTAGTATTATTTAACAAAAATCCGTATTTCAGTCTGCTTTAACAATGAAGTTCAGTAGATTTGTAGTTCTATGAGCTGGCAAAAGAAACAGTTGTTTTCTATTTTACAGCTTCATGTTTTATAGCTAAAAATCTCACTTCAAGCCAAAAGAAATCCAGTCAATCTACAAGTCTTAATAGCATCCAGGACACTGATAATACAGTATCAGTGTATACAATATCAGCGTATACAATATGGCCTTTAAGGAAAAAAGAAGAATATTTAAAGGAAAATCTAACCTAACCAGTGTCCAGGAAGCAATCAATTTAAGCACAATGTATGAAAACATAATGAAATGAAAGTTTAAAGAGCTTTCTAAAACAGGAAAAATTCTATGTATTTATGAATTTCAGAGATTTTAATCTTTGGCAGGGTAAGGGGAAGTCTTTAAATTTCACTCTCTAGAAGACCCAAACCACAACTGTTAGCCTATACAAGCAACAGAATGGATGATTCAAATTTATTATAAAATTATGCCTATTTAGTATTTTCAGACAATTCAATGTTACCTGTAGATGACTGGGGGCCTGAGGGCATAAAATAACCAACATACAAGGGTTTGGGTTTTGTTGGGGTTTTTTTGTTGCATTTTTTTTTTGTCATTTCACCACAGCAGCAGCTTTTAAAGCTGTAAACAATTTGTGCACCTCAGAGTTAAACACTGATACAGCTGAATTTTTCTTAAACAGGTTAAAAATATATATATAAAAAATCCTCACCAGAAAAAAAAGTGAGACAGTGTGAAGCTCAGTGCCTTTCACAGTGAATTAAACTATAAAAATACATGCCAGACTTTTTTGCCATCTTGACGATTGACTCTATCCGAGAGGGAGAATTCGCTGTTCTGACCCATCAATGGACCGATTGGTGAGAAATTAGAGGCAATCCTTGCAAATATAAAGATACATCCTAATTCTGACAGCTACCACAAATCAAGTGTATCGCTATTCATACGAAGTCTACAAAGACACAGGAATGCAATCTGATTGTTAGAATGGTTGAATAAGAAATCATCGCATAATAAAATAAAAAGTATGCACACTCACTTCAAAAGAATTCACTTCTATATCCTCAAATTTTCCTGTAACTGATGTTCCTGCACAGTTTACAAGCATGTCAACTGGCCCCAGCTTCTCCTGAGCCTGGAAGAGGGGACAGAGGTTAAGAGGTTCTACAGCAGTAAAAAAAGCCTTCCTGTAGCACAGTATCATTATAAGAAACTATTTCCATTAGAAATATATCACACAGATAAGCTTCTTAAGATACATGGGTGAATCAGTTACTTCCTCACCTGTTTTAGAACATTTTCCACCTGTTCGTAGTCTTTAGATACATCAACAGAAATACATAGTACAACCTAGAACAGGAAAGCGAAAGAACATTTTTACAACACAGTAAGTCCAGTAGCTGTTGACCCAAGCCTTTCAAAATGAAACAAAACCCAATGACATATCTTCTCCAGAAAAACAAGAAGTCTTTTTGACAGGAGAGTTTGCACTTCTCCCACACTGGAGAAAGCAATCAATGCCTGCCCCCTCTGAGCTCCTCCCCCTCACGCATTCTAGTATAATAAAGATTATATTAAGAATGAATAAGCACTTCAGGATCTTCAAAGCAGCTACTCACGAGCAAAGTATAATTTATAATTTACTGTACTAAGACACACTATGACTTATTTACATAAGTTTAGTAAAAACCATTCTAAGGCAGTCAAAATTCCACAGTGCTACATTTAACTTTCATCAGCGCTAAACACAAGTGAAACCATTTGCATGGCTTAGGCTCATCTTCAAGAAAAAACATTTTTTCCATATCATAGAAGGGCATGGTTGCATAGCATTGCTCTGAAAATGCAGCATCAGCACGGCTTTTCCAAAGTTTATAAAGCAAGTGTTCCAAACATGCTAACTTTAGTACTGGCAATGCATGCTACCCCCTTTTTTCCATAAATTTTTTTCTGAAGAATATTAGTAAACTTAGTTGCATACTGTTTAATTGTGACATGTCAAAGACAAAACTCTAAAAAATTCTGTGAGAAACTGACTACTTCCACAGTGTCATAAGTATTTAAAAAGTGAAGTACTGTGTATATGTTCACTCCCTATCTGGAAACCAAAGATTATGGGGTTTAGTTTGAAAGACACAGAAAAATTAAAATAAGCATTGACCAGGGTGGGGGACAGGACAACAAAAAAACAGGTAACAGTGCTATCTAAGCTTTGTTGCAGCTAAAAGTTAGGCCTTGTTCTTCTTGAAAGTTACTGAGTACTTTCAGCAAGATGATCTCGGAATCTATGTTCTGAAACACCTTCAGATCAACCCCTGGCCAAAGGAAGCACTGCCTTTGGGTTACCACTTAAAAACTGTAAGATTGCTACAAACTCCAGCTTGGCCAGGTATTTACAAATAAGCTACCCTCTCTGCTGAGCCATCAGCAGAGCTTCAGGGTAATTTGTCGCCTTGAAAGGAGAAGCAATCTCCTATCACTATAAAAGGAGGGGGTCCTGTACTCTTGTTCCAATTTCTATCCTTTCTGTTACTTTGGTCAACTCATTTAAACTCAGTTTGAGGTGAAACAGAACAAAGTCATCACCAGTTTGTAACAGGTATCATCATGACCACTTGTCATGGAACACATGGACACACACACACAAAAAAAGCTTACCACAGTGTAACTAACTGCTTTGGCAACTTAGTCATTTGTCAGTCCTGCCTCTGGTCAGACTACAACACTTCCTAGCTGCATAAACAGAATCTGCTTGCCATTCCTGTACAGCAGGTTGGCTATTCCTGCCTCCCAGCACTGTGTGTAGTTGGACATCAGACTAAACTTGTGGTACAAGTTATTGGCAGGTCCGCATGCATCTCCCCTTAGGGCATTTATTACATTTTGGAAATATTTATCTTTTACGTAAGTTTAAGAATAAAACAGCATTTGAACGAAAAGGACTGATTTATTAACTGGATGTCTTTGCAAGATCAATGAGGAGGTTAAAAATCACAGCTCTGTATCAAAATTGGAGCAGTTAATTAATGTATCAGATTGCATAGTTATTCATACTGTGAAGAACACACTCAGGAGCTACCACAGCTTTTATGGACTACAATCACGTTAAACAATTCACCTCTGCTTCTATTATCATATGTTCTTTCTTCTGCTACAATATACTACCTTCACTCCAGAGCATGCTCTATAGATCCACACCTAGGACACAGAATACACTGCCAGAAGTAGTCTAATATCCCCAGCCCTGTTCCTCACCTTTTGTTCTAAATATTGCATGGTGTTGAATCATTAGTAAAGCTTCCACAATAAAAGATCAATTCAACTCCCAGTGAAGTAACTGGGAATATTCTATATATTAGGAAAGGGATTTAAAAACACAAAAATTGCAAAAAAACCTCTAAGAGCAAGGATTTTGTTCCATTGCACATTGTAACCATAAGGGCTGCACTGTCAGCACTAACTAAATAGCATGCAAACATGTTCAAAAGAACATTTGCCAAGCCGAACACTAAAACGTACGCAGATGCCAGACACTGGTTGTCAATGCAACCTGGTTTCATTGAAACTAGTGTAGGGTTCTTGAAACCCTGGTTTTAAGAGGTGAATGGTGACAGCATATATTCATGTAAAAACTGATCTTTCCTGAGAATATTTGCATCTTGGCTTGACGTCGAGTAAACGTAATAGTTTCTGTGTACGTGATCCATATCGGACAACACCTTTCTCTACACTCTTTCAGCAATCCTTTTGTACAGCTTCTCTCGGTTCAGCCCCCCTCACTTCCCAGCTTCTGATCTGCTGTTCTAGTGTGAGCTCTGCCTCCCCAGACTCCCTGCTTTTTCCAGTTCTGTTCTTTGCATTTAGATCAGGCAGGCTTCCTGATGAACTACAGGCTTCCCCTTGTCTACAACCCAACAACAGCTACATAAGAGCCAGCCTATCTATCACTCCCACTGCCTATGCTTAACCTGGCTGCAAGTCTAGAGCTGCTTCTTCAAAAGCAGTCCGGTTCAGTCCTCGCTAGAGCTCACTCAACCTTGAAGGTACTTTCTGAGATTTTAACTGACACCCTTATGAACATGCAACCAAGCAATATTCTTTGAAAAAGTCCACACCTATCAAGCTTGGACAGATTTTAGCAAGAACACCCTGACACAGTGTTTGACAAGGGATTAACTTTAATGCTAAGCTTGGGAAACTACTAGAACAGCTAAAAGAAAATGGTTATCAGGATTTTTTTTTTTTTTAATGGGCAAAATATAGTTCCTCCTCACCTCAAATGGCTTAGTTTTTCAAATAAAGTTGATCTGAGTAAGGTAGCATGCACAGAAAAAAAATCAGCTTGAGCCGTTTGACAAAAACATATGGAAGTGAAGACAGAATCTTATAAATGGAGGTATTGAGAAAATTTTGTATCAGCTATCACTAAAATTATTGCCTCCATTTTCCATTGCTTCTTTTCAAAAGAATCTCCAATTTATCAATTCAAATCCCTTTTCACATACAAATAAATTGCTTGTATCTGTAATTATGAAAGTAACAAACCAGTCCTGGAATACAAGAAAGGAGAAGTTGAAGATGCTAACAGTCTCAATACTGTTTCCCCTCTCCCCTTGATTATTACTGCTGTGAAAAAATAATTCTAGCATTTCATCTTGAAGTTATGTATTTTGAACATAGCAAGCTCTAAAATAGTGCCTGTATGCACAAGTGCACTATCTATTTACCAAAGCAGCTTCAGTGTTTAGAAGTCTTAGAACTTCCCAAATTTAACCTGTGTAACTGTTACAGTACTTCGCCAGGAAAAGGAATACAAGTATGATATAATGAACTAAACCTGGAAACAAGTATCTAAACTTCTTTTCCAAGACAACTGCTGCATTTATGAACTGCAAAAAGCAAGAGATTTGAAAAAAATTTGGTTCTTCCACTTCATCTTGAAGAATACAAACACTTACTGAGTGACAGTAAATTGCAGCTATCCAAAAAAGCATACTACACCTACAGCTGAAGACATAAATCTTTTTCTCCAAGAAAAGCAGGCTAATGCACTAGGTAAGCAACATCAAACGTAGCAGACTTCATGTAAGCAGATTGGTATTTTTGAATTCAAATACTGAGCCCTCACTCATTTCTTGTCAAACAGCTTTGTTTTAAAGGCAGTCACTACAACATAGTTCAGTAGCTCTATCTTAAGCAAAACACACAACAGCCACTGTTAGCAGTGATCTTACCTGCTTGTCATTAACAGAGTACTTTTCTATTTCCTTCTTTGTCTGCAACAGCTTGTTCTGAAATGGATACAAGAACAGCTAAAGCACTGCAGTTCTGAGAGCAGTGTTAGCCTTCAGTAATTCAGTGAGACTTAAAAACATTCCCTAAGACCCCCAAAAGTTACCTTCAACTAGTATTAACACTTTACTATTGCCATTTTGCAGATTTATGAATATATAACGAAAACATGAACTCCATCAAGCTATCAGAACTAACATGGAATTATCATAAAAATCGAAGTAAAATTTGGAAAATTCAAATTGTCATACTCCTTTCAAGAAAAATTGTGTTCATTCTGGCTGCATTCAAGGTTATGCAAAGTAAGTTCTCAAGTGTAACTAAATTATCAAAGACAGCTGGGACTGAGGCCCAAAAAAAGAAGTTAAGTGCTTTTATTTCCTGAATAATTAGTTTTTTCTCTACAAATAAAATAACAACCCATTATGAAAACAGAGTCATTCCAACTAAATTCTGAATACCTCTCATTTAAAAAAACCCAAAGCAACCTTTTTTCCTCCAAAGCTGTCTTGATGAACAGTTTTTCACTAGTAAAAAGTATGATATAATGCTGATTAGACACCAAAATACTCTCTGAAGTTTAAGACCTGTCTTTAATCCCCCAGTTACCACTAAAAATTTTGTCCTCTGCCACGGATCTAGACAGTGAAATAATAAATGCCATTAACAGAAGCGATAGCACTGGCAGAGTTTTAAGGCAAGCTGATCACAAATTCCATGCTGGGCTACGCTCCTTAAAAAGGCAGCCACCTCTCCTCTTCAGATGCATTAATTTGAAATGCTTAGGATCCCCTTATACACAGAAGAAAGTATGAATAATTATCAATTCCAAAATTATTCCCCACCTATGCCGATTTGGTGAACAGAGTTTAGCCAGTAAAAGTACACATACACTTACCTCGTCCCTTGCAATCAGTGTTATGAAAGCACCTTGCTTATAACATTCGATAGCAATACATTTTCCAATTCCACTGGAGCCTCCAGTTACCTAAAAGTTATTTGAAAACAGCAGCGTTAGTCCACTGTTACCATCCTTTCTCCCATATGAGTCAAATAAAGTGAGAATTCTAAAAATATACAGAGATCAAAATACCACCCAATGAGGTATGAATACAGAAGATAGATACACTAAAGTTAGTTTACTTATTGAGTATGAATGAAAAGTAAGATCTGAATAGATCTACCCTAAAACCAGTTTTACCTCAGTCGTATTTTTTGCTCATTTCTTCTATCAGGCACACTTAGTCCCACTCCCACATGGGCTTTCTTACATGTTTTTGAGTAAGTTCTGTACGTTATTTCTAAAAGACAGGAGTAGTTAAAAGTTTGAAATCACTATTAATGTTAGCCATAATAATATGATTACATACTGCTCCTCCATACCTGCTCGCAGTAGAAATTATTTGTAAAATTAACAATTGCAAATTGTCTGCTGGAGATATCATCATGCAAACATAAACAGAAAACACCTGCTTTCTTACTAAAAAATTTCCATTAATTCAACAGTTGGCCCTCTGTAGAGCATTTCTCAGTCCCCCAGTCTGGACCTTGAACTGTCTGTGCCATCCCGCAATTCCAGTTTTGTGGTGATGCCAGCACCTACACTTCCATTACCTTTTCTTCTTCCTCTAAACTGTAACACTGAATAGTCCTCTACGCAAACAGGAAATTAATAGTTCATCTGCAGACAAATGCAGGGTAATTACTACAGCCCTGCATTATATGTTGCAGGAGGATACACCGCCAAATGATACTAATAAACAGGTTAAAGTTACCTTAACACCTTTCTCACTACCCTCAATAAACCTACTTATAAAGTCCACATGGAACAAGATGTAGACAATCCTGACCTCTCTTTTTGACTAAAACAAAAATGTCTGTCTGTCTGACACTGCCTTTAGATGGCTTGTTCATGTAAGCCCAGTCTCAGACCACATGTGCCTTTGGTCCTTAAACAAATGCTGATACCTTTCTTATATACTCAAATTATTTGAGCTTTCTTTTAACAGCATATTAAGAGGCTATAATTGAGAAAACATTGGAACAAAATGCCTAGAAGCAGTTACTGTAAAAAAATTCTTCTGATGAAATTAGTTCTGAAATGCAGATTTCCTAATAACTGGAAAAAGTAGCGATTTAGTTTGCTCTGGAAATCATAATTTGTTGTTCTTTTTCCAAAGTTCTCAAAAGACTTGGGAGAAAGTAAGGTATCACACCTCCGTTTTAGGTATGAGAAAATGGAGGCATTGAGCTAATTAGTGGAAAAGCAAGGATCCCCAATCTCTAACTACACACTCTATCAAAAGCCTTGTGTTGTCTCCTTATCTGCCAATGCCTCAGAGATGCATTATCCTTAAAATTCTTTCCACTTCTGGGGGCAGTAAAGCCAGAAGTACGTTCCCATGAATCACTAAACTCTTCTTTCATAAAAGTATTTTTAGCACTAACCTTCAAAAATAGCTTATTGTAAGTTAAATAACCCCAGCAAACAAAGATTTACAATATGATCCATGGTTTCTGACTGATCCGTCTGCAGTCACAAATGGGCCAAGAATGAGTGTAATGTTCACAAAGACTAACTTCAGTTCTTTAGGCTTCCCCTAATAATAGAGATAGCTGCTTCAGATTAGCTTCTGACTCTCTCTGCAAGATTAGCTTCACCCTACACTAACCTTCAAGGATGACTCCAAGACGCATATCCTGTTCTAGAAATGTGAAACCTGGTCTGTAGTGTTTTGAACCAAGGATGACTGCTTTCAAAGTAAATGAAGTCCGCAAGAGTGTGAGTGTTAGTTAATAATCTGGGGCTTCAGCAGAACCCCAGAATTAATTTAATGCTTCATGATGGAAAGAAGTTAAGAATTTTAGCGTAATCGCAAAACAGCTTGCAAGATTTCAATACATCTCTGAAAAGATTAAAAGACTCCATTTGATAAATTCAGACAGATCTCAGTTCTGCAGCGCTCGTGAGCTGCTTCTACAGATTTTCAACAGCAGCAGGTACACCAGCACATGAACTAATCAATGTGCATGGAAGACTGCTCCAATTCCAATTTTTGGCACAGCACTGAGACGCAGCTGATTACTACTTGCACAAACCGCTGAGTATCGTGAGCAGGTCAACTACACCAATGCTTGAGGAACTCTTTGAAGGTGAACGTACTGGCACCAAGCCTCTGGCTTGTCAGACAATGCTAATGTTCATTTCAGAAAGACATGGTCTGAAGTCATACAAGAAAAAAAAAAAAAAGAAGTTCTTATTCACAGTCACATCCAGGAACACTGGCTCATGTCAGATAGATCAGTGACAAAAGGCAGTATCAATTAGCTGGGAATTTTAGCATGTAGATGGGAGGCTGCTACTAGTATGTGGGAGGTGGTTACTAATACACACATCTTTCAGGAACATTCACTATGAATGCTAATGTAACAGAAAAAGAAATCCTCCCTCACGCTAGTGAAAACTTTGCTTTGTGCCACAATGAAGTTGGCCTAAGCAAATCTATGAAGTCTGCTAGGAAGGTAAGTTACTAACACAGATGCTCAGAATTAAAGGAAACGTACACATCTACTCCACTAAACAAGACTTTATGATGGTTACTTACCCTTGTGGTCAATAGTTCTACAGTGCTACTGCATTTCATTAGTTTGAGGCATTTGAATTGCCATTGATCCCGCTTTTAAATTTCACTGTAACCCAACCCCAGACGAGTTTGCAAAAATAAAAATCTGTCACAGCAAATCAAAACAGACTAATTTCTTGACAGAAAGGGACAATTAAATCCTAGTATTAATTCAGATGTTCAGAATGCAATACTAGAAGCCCTCGGGAAGTGTATTGAGCTGTTTCTGTGTTTGAGAACAGGCATCAAATTAGCCATTCCAAAAAGGGTCTGGCTCCAACTTCTTGAGCTATTATCCTTGAGAACAGAGTTCAGCTTCTAAGGATCATAGGGTTTATTTCCCCCTTGATAAATGGAAGTATTGGGGTGAAGTACAGAGAATTGCTGTGTTTGACTTTCAAATTAGAGATACTGGAAATTCACTTCAATTGATGAAACAGCCCAACTCCAAATTAACAGAACTGTCATCAGGAATCATCAAAATCAAGACTTGATTGATACGGTATCTCCAACAGAGCTTATTAACTTTCACTTGGCACTGGATGCAGGCTGGCTTTGTGTTTTTTAGGCAGTGCTCTGACAGAAGGTATTTAGTTCCACAGAAACAGAACACCCCTGTAATCTGCTCTGAGTGGTTAGTATGCCTGACTAGACTCAAAACAACCTCTTGTCGAACCACTCGGACGCATCCGAACCACAGATTGTATCGCTCCCAACACAAGAGCTACAATTGCTGAGACACCGAGATTGGCCGTCCTTAAAGTTGACCGCACAGTTATCAAGTTGAGCTCTGCACAGAAGTGGTGAAACTACTTCTAGACTAGAGATGACCCTTGTGCATGTGGATTTGGCATGATCACCCTGAACTCTGTCCAAGCAAAAGGCTCTTTTCAACCTGAATGGGAGACATTCTCTGCTTGGGACTATCTTTACTTTTCTTGCCATTGTTAGTCCACAAACTTTGATAGACTGCATTTGTATCACCAAGATCTTGGGTTTTTTTCACAGAAATTTCAACTTGGTTTAATCTTTTAGAAAGATTAAGGCTGAAACAAAGGGGGCAGGGGGAGGCTAGCATTGGTATTTCAGCAAAGAGTTTCTAAACATCACTCACTACATTTACAGAAGGCTGCTTTTGCCCTAACATCTTAAGTTTTTGTTGCATGCTGCTCCATCAAGCATAGTCCCTTTGTAGAGAAAAGGAAAGAAAGAGTGAAGAGAATGCGTGTAGGGCAGGTGTAACATCCCTGACAAAGGGCAGCTAAATGTGATGCAAGTGAGCATGATGCATATGAAGCAGCGATGACTGCCTAATCCTATTTTCATTTTCCTGTCTACTATTACCACCAGCCATGAAACTAATGGCTTATTCTCACAGAACAGGTGATCTGTGCTAGTATCTAGCCTGAGACCCAAGGAGTGAGTTAAAACCAATAGCAAAATAAAAGATATATACAATAGGCTTCCGGATTTCAAAGCACGAAGAAGTTCAGCACAAGAAGCAGGAGCTCCACAGCACAAAAATAACTTTTATACCCTTTATTTGAGAACACTTTCCTAACTGTGCTAGAAACGAAGCAAGTAGTATTAAATATCTAAAAACCATTTTGTTTTAAATAAGCTAAATCTGATGCTTAAGCCCATTTGATGACAGAGAATTCCTTTTTATTTAATGGTGCTCACTGGTGTCACCAAAATACAAAACAGAGAAGAGGGGGGGAAAACCCCACAAGATTAGACCATTAGTAATTGGGAGTTCTATAGACTCTCACTCTGAGTAACAGTCCTATTCTTTCCTACGAAAAAGAGACTCCTACGACCATGATTCCTCCAGAAAGCATGCCTCACCTAAGACAGCGAGCGCTTCCATCACGCAAATGACTCTGGGACAGGACAGAGAAAAAACCCACAGTTTTTCCACTTCAAATTTCTATCCCAAAAAGCAGCCAGAGTCAGTTACTTAGCCATAACTCAAACGTCCATTAACGATAACTCTTAGGAGTGAAAAGAAATACTTTTTATGAAAGATTAAGAGTGAAAAGAACACTGTCGTAAGTTGAAAATTCAGTAACTGGTATGTAACAGCATCTGAAGTTGCCCAATGACCTTCCTTCAGAAATGGAATATATATTTTCATGATACCTTCAACAGACCCTCAGAGAGAAGAGTTTCTAGGTAAAACTGACTTTTTCTGCTTCAGAAAAACAATGTATTCAAGTACATCTTGAAAAACTGTATTTACTGTGCAATGTAATCACTTGCCCTCTTGAGAGGGCTTAACCAGGTAACTATGCAATTTGTGGGTTTATTCCTTTATTCTTTATTTCAAGGGTTTAACTGAGGCCTGACAAAGATTACCAAATGTTAACCTATGGTCTTATCTGAATTAAATCATAAACTAAAAAGAATTCGTATATGCAGATCACAAACAAATTGGTATTTTTCCAGAAGATGACTTCAAAGTCCTTAGATAATGTTATGTGCCTTAAATACTTTCATGAAGTCTGCCAGTCATTTCAGTAGCAGAGAACATTTATTCCCAGTATACAACCTAAGAATTCACTTTTACACACAGAGTGTGGAAGGCCTCCCTCAACAAAATTTCTAAGTTCCAGTACCCTCATCCAATATTTTTCCTTATGCATTACACTAGAAAATTTGAAATCCAAATGTACAAGTATGCAGCACTATTAACAGCATCTACAAATCTAAGAACTAGTGAACTCTGAAACCATTGCTCCTTATTTCATTAGTTTGCACGAATGCTTAAAGAGCATAACTAAGTCAAAATAAAACAAGCAGTTCTGCCAGTGGTGACACCAATAAAACTGTTTACCTGCAGTTTTTGATTTGTATCATCAAGTTAGATATATCTACAGCCTTTTCTTCCATCAATGTCTTAATGTAGTTACTCCTCAAGCTGCAGTCCTAATTTTATAAACCTTGCAGGAATACTGTTTTTGAGACTTGCACTTGTATCAAATTGAGCTTCAACTGCTAATATAATTAGCAGCAGTGGTTATAGGAAGGTTTCTCCAACATGTATATTCTAATCATTTTTAATGTGAACTTTTTAAAATAAACCGTTCTGATTAGAAGAACCGGCACAGTAGCTTTTAAAGAGTTTAATCGCATAAAGAACAGGCAAAACTTGGGATAGTCGCTATATATATATTTCATATATAAAAGCAAACCAGCAAAATTTTGGAATAAAATCCATTACACTTTTTATTGTTTGTTATTGTATTTCTGCACCAAAAAAAAATCAGAGAATTCCCTTAAGTCTGCTTCACCTTTGCTTTTACACAGTATTGAAGGGTTCCTCCCTAACAAGCATTACTTCTGTGGGAAGAGCCATAACCAGAGAACCCTTAATGCAAGCTCGAACACACCTCACACAGTGTATGATGCTGTAAAGCCAGTTACAGCATCCAAGTAACACCTATTGCACAAAGCGACTTGGGAACACTGTTGCAACTTGGACAGGTCTGAAGTATTCTGAGGACAGCTCTTGCCTCCAAAGAGGAGCTCCAAAAATAATAATAAAAAACAACCCCAAAACAAAACGAGGCACCATACAGAGCTAAAAAAGAAAAAAAAAATAAAGAGCAGCTGTAAATTCACTTGCACCTAAAAGGACTAACTTCTGGATTATGCCAAACTCCCATGGTAATAAAGGACATCTGCAAGCGCTACTACTCACCCCTTAAAAGCAAATTTAACCAAACAGTAAACTACCACTTCTCTGCATAGACCATACCTTAGGGATTTATAGCTAAGTTAAAAGAGCTGATTCTAGGACCCTGATTCTTTCAACCGCCTAACTAATTTGCAGTCCTGTCCAAATTCACTACTTTGTGATCCACCCGAGAGGACCTGGGTATGGTTC